TACTTCACCCCGCCTAGAAGGAAAAGGACGGAGGTCGAAAAGAGCAACGCTCGCGGATGAGAGAAAGACGGAAGAACGGTGAAAGAAACTTTCGCGAAGTCGAATTTCAAACTCTCATCACCGTGAGAGAGTTTCCAAATTTATTCAATAAATTCTGGCGGTGGAAAAAGCGATAGTACTCGCGTTACCATGTAACTCCGCTTTGCTCTTCTCTCTTTCTCTCTTCTCTCTTCTCTCTCTCTCTCTCTCTCTCTCTCTCTCTCTCTCCGCGCGCACATTCGATTCGATTTAACGAATACCAGACTCCCGGACAACTTCCGGTCTCGGCGCGTCACGAAGGAAATTCTCGCGCGAGAGAGGTACAACTCTCGAGTCCGACTGGCAGCGTTCGTTTATCGCGATATCGCGTTGCGATTATGAATCATCCATGCGCCTCTAGCGCGTAGCTGCACGTAGCTGCAAACGCTGCTTCTTGATCGCGTCGGTGCTCCTTTAATATCGCGTATGGCCGGAAGCGTCGGAAACGCGGACCGTAGAAGGAACGAACAGCTCGCGTGATCATAGATCGCTGAGGGATCGTCCGCTATTTTTTCTCTGCTCGAACGAACAGGGTGCGTGGCCGCTGGGGGATAAAAGCGAAACATTTACGAGAGGGTGGAGAAGGATCGGCGGATCCCATTTTACCCTGTACCCGTACCGTGTCTACCTGTTTCGTCCTTTTCGCTCGTGCGAGATCCTACCACCGATTTGCGTAAACACACTCTAATTTATGAGGGTTTCCTCCACCCCACCGTCGCGGTTGGCACTCTCGCGATTTACGAGAACCCCCGCGTAGTCGGAAGATTAGGCTCGTTCTGGCTTTTCCTCCCTTTCTCCGTCTTTCTGATCTACAGTGTCTTCCTCGACACAGTTTATAACGACAGCGGGAGCAGAGTCGGGTCTTAGGACGCGATTATTACTTCTTGATCCTTACTGCCGTCGCCTCGAGCGATACGCGGCGCCGAAGACATCACTGAGATCCCGAGGAAACATTTTCTCCTTGTATTTTTTTTCTGTTCTTCCCTCTCAGCCGCGGGGAGAGATCGGGTTTTACGATTTCGCCATCGCACGAAGCTACCCGCGGTACCGCCCTTTTTATCACCCCATCGGGTAATTCGCAAATGGAATAACGTCCCCCGCGGAACAAAGGGCGGGCAGACAGAGCCCCGTGTCGCATTGTCTGAGATTTTTCGTGCGATAGCGATAGACCCGCCGCGGTTTCTGCACGAATTCGTTGCTGGGAAAGAAAAAGAGAGAGAGAAAGAGAAAGTGCGAACGCACGAGAGCTGTTCTATCGTTATTTGCCGGATCGTTTTGATCGTTTGAGGTGGAGGTAGTAGAAAAGATCAGAGACTGAGATCGGACGACTCTCATCCGACTGGGCTTCGGAACTGTCGGAATAAAAAGAACCGAATTAACTCTAGAAGGATCCACCGGAAAATAAATGCCTATAAAATTGCTTTTACGTAAAAGGACATTTTAAAAAGAATTATTAATATTATTAGGGAAAGAGAGTTTTTCTTCCTATAGAAAAGACAAACATAAAAATAGGAAAATAGTGAATAAAATGAAAAAAGAAAATGAATAATTAAAATACAACATATGACATATTTAAAAGATAATTATTTTTCTAGAAGTTTGTCTGCTGTATTATTATACTATAATTATAAATGACGTACTCGCAAGTATCCATTATACGAATAAGGATTAGAGTTACATGTTTTCGTTTGTGTTGAACAGAGTCGGGTTCCGAGTTAAAACATGAGCTGGAATACGAGAAGAGAAAATATGCTTTCTTGTCTCGGATTCGAAAGATACATGCCTGGATCTGCGTTTCTGATAAGGAAAACAATATTTTTTTCATTCTTTTCGCCGGTTTCACGCGGCATCGAGCCGAGATTCAATCGAAAATCGATTCTCGCGCAGGTACTTATCGGGGGGATACAGTATGTCGAACCTACCTCTCCCTCCTCCTTGCAGTCGCAAGTCAATCTGCCGTAGTGGTCGCAGGAGCAGGGCGGATAGTCGCACCTGCTGGTGGAGTTGGTCAGGACGCCCTTGAGTAGGCTGCTCCAAAAAAGTCCTAAGATCGCGCTGCCTAACACATATTTCGTTGCTCCCATTTTGCGCCTCTCACTCGCTTCTTCTTCCCCTCCTCTCTCTCCTTCTGCCATGCGCTCAAAGGGTTCCCTCTTCTGCTTCACGCCACTTCTTTATCACCGGCTGTTTTATACCAAGCCAGCGTCGGGCAATTCCACGCCGAGCCGACCGCGAGGCCGCCCCGACATGTTTGTGCTTTAAATCCGCGCCGTCGAAATCCGACGCCTCCAATTTTCTCGCCTTAGCCTAGCGTTACAATTAAATTACCGACTGGCTCGCGCTCGCGATTAATCTCGCTCGCACCACGAAAAGCTATCTCGACTTGCTCGCGACACGTGACACATGCCACGCAATATTACGTGAGTCGATCATAATCTGCGCCCAGTCTCTTGATGAATTCATGCCTCTCGATGACGACGACGATCGTCCGATATGGGGTGATCCTTTAGGCTTATCCGAATCGCCGATTCGAGGAATTTTCTACTACGACATTCGTTTCGCCATCTCGCTTCCTCGTTCGAGCATCGCCGCGATCCAATTTTGTCGGTGACAGCGTGTAACGTTCTCGAACATTGCGTCTCACCGGAGATCTTCCTCTCTTCGATCTTATTCCTCTGGAAACGATAGCTCGTCTGTAAGGATAGAGAAATTAAAAATCCTTGAACTTCTCACTCTCTTCCCACTTCACTTCTATCCTCTCTCTCTCTCTCTCTCTTTCTACCGTAAAATCTTTTTTCTCTTCGTCAGACTGCGAATATATTAACATCGTACATCGTAAATTTATATTTTTTCGTGCATTCTCCAGTCCGTTTAACAAACATTCTCTTTTTTTTGGCATAGTCTATTTATGGTCGCATGTATCATTAATTATTTTAATTCAATTTCTTAATTCTTTCCGTTAGATTTGTCTCGAATGTTTCATTAATTCACGATTTTTCCGAGAAGATACGACGACGGCCGTCACGGCGTTATCGAACGTTTTTGTTTCCCCTTTCCCTAAGTGATAGTACGTTGCGTTATCATGTTCGATCGTACAGGAACGGACGCACCGTTGAAAAGTGCCACGCGATATCGTCGCATCAAACGACAGCGTCGCAATATCCGATGATGATAATCCGCGATCTGCCACTCAGCTACTCTCTCACTGTATACCGTTGCATGACTAATCGTGCCTACATTCCTGCGTTATCAGAGTGCTCTCGCTCTCGCATGACGTGGTTCTGTTTATTGTACAAATATGTCAACTGCTGTTACTGTAAACTTTTCGCGTTAGCGAACGTTCCGCGAACGAGCTTCCCGATTATTCACGATCGCTTTGCAATGCCGCAAGAAAATCCGGGACGGATTTTGTTCACCAACTCTTTAAAACTCGAAACTTAGCAAATTAAAGAGAAACAAAGTTATAGATATGCGATATCGAAGAGAAAGTGCGAGTTATGAAGGATTCAAAGCTGACACAATTTTCCGAGACACATTGAAACGATAAAAGATGTCTACTGAAAAAAGTACGGGAACAATATTTAAATCTTAAGAGTCTACAGGTATATTTCAGTACACTTTATTAAGTTAGTGAGTTAATATATTTTGTAAGATAACTCATCAAATTTAAAATTAATTGTTATTGATCATTATTATTGAATCATTATTGATTTTTATTTAATCGTTATATTGCAGTGATTAATATATTATTTTATTTTAAAATTAAATCGATATAAATATATTAAAAAGTGCATATAAGTTTGTAACTTAATAAACTGTTACTGAGATAATTAATGGAATGTATCCTTGATATCTTCTATTTTTTGATGAAATAAAGTTTGATCTATTCGGACAATAACAAAAAGTGAAATGGCACGAAGTGGAAGCGAGCGGGATCGATAGACGTGAAAAGAGAGTCGTGAATGAAAGGCAGTCTCGCTCAAAGGATTTGAGAAGAATTTCTTTTTACAGTCGAGTCCTTCGAACGACGACCGCTCGAAATTTCTTCCGGTCCGGTTTTCAGCCTCTCTTTCGGCTTGTTCTTTTCAACCAAGAGATACCTCATTATTAACGCGGTGCTTTTGCTAAGTTAATTGCTCGTTGCATTAATTAGAATAATTACAAAAAATTAACCTCAATATTAAAGATTTAACAAAAATTACAAAAAGTTTCAGTACATATACAAGCTCTTGACTTATTAATTTACATAGCTTTCAAATTAAAGTGTTACGCAAAAAAATAATAGATTTCAAATTTATTGATATATTTGTAAATTGTTTATATTTTTCATAAGAATATTTATATTATATTGTATATTTTATCGTTTTGCTATGTTTCTGTGAAATTAAATAAATTCTCACTTTGTTATTCATCCTCGTTATCGTTCGTTTTTAATAATAGAGATATTAATATCACGTGAGAAAATTCATACATTGCTGCATCGATTGGTAGATCATTTTCAATTAACGAATATTCATTGTTCCTCGATGCAGTGATTGAGAGAGAGAGAGAGAGAGAGAGAGAGGAGGAGGAGAGAGAGAGAGAGAGAGAGAGAGAGAGAGAGAGAGAGAGAGAGAGAGAGAGAGAGAGAGGAGAGACGA